TCTAGAACATCCCCTAGATATTGAAACGATGTGACTTTCTCTACCTTAATGGCTCCAAAAACATTGCTTTTTAGAATTTGTTGTTGTGGATTTATGCAAGCAGGACAAACAAAATTGGACCCTTTAGATCAAGTACCAATTATTTCTAAACAACGTTTGTGACACCACTGGTTACACTGCTGACACTTGATTGAATTGTTACCTACACCAGCTTTATAAACTGAACAGGGCTATCGTCCAGTAGCTGTGGATTTGATGGGTTCACCAGTGTTCATTGCTTTGGTTTTGTTGATGTTGACTTTGAATCCATGAGCGACGAGTCTAGTGTTCCAATCTTCAAACATCTGTGCTGCATTCTTCTCAGACGTGGCTGTTAAAACGATATCATCAGCATATATTAGATTCCAAATGTCACAAGTGCATATCGGTTTTGTGATTTCCTCTATCACAGTTATAAATAACAGTGGACTGAGAATCGAGCCTTGGTGAACTCCAACGCCGATGTCAAATGCATGTGTTTCCAACCGTTGTACTGACGAAAGTTTTAGTATTCGTATACATTTCCATCACAAGTCAAACAAGATATTCTGGAATGAGTTGTCGACTGCATGATTGCTTCACGGGGAACTCGATCAAATGCTTTTTCAAGGTCTACAAAAATGTGTGATAGTTGTTGATGCTTTGCGAGGTACTTCTCTTGCAGTTGCCAAAGGATGTGGATTGCATCAATTGTTGATTTCCTTGCTAGAAAACCAAATTGATAATTTCTGATTGAGATGCACGACGTTAATATTCTCTCAATGATTTTCTCGACAATTTTCAGGGAGTGTTCTAACAGACGTATACTCCGATGTGGTGAACAGTTCAATGGATTACCGTTGCCTTTGTATAACGGAACTGTCATGCTATATTCCATTCAGTCGGTATTGAGCAATTTCTCCACACTTCACTGCAAAGTTGTAGTAACATTCGGATACCTGCAGCACCTGATGCTTTGATTATGTCATTTGTGAGTGCAGAGGGTCTTGCTGCTTTTCCATCTTTCGTAGCTTTCAGAGCTTCTGTAAGCTCCTCTACAGTGATATCTGGAATCGGACCTTCGATTGGTGGAGCGTCAAAGTTGACATTGATGGGATTTGTTTCATTTAACAGACGGTTGAAGTATTCTCTGCACTGTAGCTTGATCTCATTTTGTTCAAGAACCATCTCATTTTTGTCGTTTTTGATACATGAGGCATCACTTATGTCTTACTTCGTACGCTTTGCTTGTTTTGCTATACGATACAGAAATTTTATTTGTTCACCTTTGCTTTTAGTGAGCCACTCTCTGCACTGATCTGTCCGAGCCAGTGCGACTTTTGCATAGTTGTTCTTCTCACGAAAAATTTTATGGTCATCAACAGACTTTGATTTTTGCCATTGCTTATATGCACCTTTCTATTCAGCAATTGCATTTTGTACACTGTCATTTCACCACCAAGTGTCCCGTTCATGCTGACGTTTTGTGCCAGTTTTCCCACAAACTGTAGTTGCAGCGTTTATCAAAACGGTTTTGTATGTACTCCAATTTGTAGTGGCTTGCCATTGGTGGTTTAACTGTTTGGCGACGGTGGTCTAACTGTGTGGCGACAATCTGTTGAAATTTTTTTCGATAAGTTTTGCATTTCAGCTTCCACGTTTTGATTCTCCGAGGCATTTGTTTAGACTTATGTTGTGACAGTTTGACAACCAGGTCTGCCATAAGCAGTCTATTTTGGGCGACACATGGTTCGCCAGGTATAACTTTGACATTTTTGAATAGCCTTCGTTCTTGTTGCTTGACAGCGAAGAAATCAATTTGCGTGGCTGATGGTCCACTTTTGTATGTTATGAGATGTTCCAACCTTTTTCTAAAATATGTGTTCAGTAAACAAAACCCGTGACTTTCAGCAAACTCAAGAATGCGGTTGCCATCTTCATTCCGTTCTCTATAGCCAAAACCGCCATGTACGTTGTCAAAACCATCTGTTTTCTCTCCAACGTGGCCATTGAGATCGCTTCCAATCAGGATTGTTTCAGATTTTGGTTCAGTTGAGATGGTGTCAGAGAACGCAGCCCAGAGCCCAGAAGTCATTTTTCATCTCTTCTGATTCGCCTGTCTGTGGTGCGTATGCAGAAAAAAATAATCTTAGTTTGCTTTTCTAGGCGAAGCTTGATCCACATAAGACGTGAATTAATCCTTTTAATACCCAGTACTTCTTGGGCTAGCGGTTCTTTGACAACAATCCTAACACCATTTTTGGCCGTCTTTTGACCATTCCAGAATAGTTTAGTTTAAAGCACAATTTTAAGCAAATATATTTGACAATAAAATAGGGTTTTTTAAACTTATTTAAACAAAAATTAAAAATCAACGTACGCAGTGGCGTAGCCTAAAATTTGTTGTTTGAGAAGCTTAAATTCGTAAGTTTTTTTGCTTATCACTTATTTTTAACATACTTAGCTTCTAAAACCTGTGATTTTGGCACATTTTATATTTACCTAATGTTGTGTTGAAACATTTTCATTTCGGATTTTTATTAATTTTAATAGAGATTTTGTTTAATTTAGCCTTATCTTTACGCAATTTTTTATTTATATTTTTTATTTTTTCAGATCCAAAACTTTTTCTTTCCCGCGCATTTGAATGCATGTTAAACTAACGTAGTAAGGAAATTTAAATAAAATAATCAGTTTAAGCATTTTAAGCAAACATTGCATTGTAAGCAGCACATTCACGTTGTTTGACGAATAAGTACGTAGCCATGTTTATTAATCACATTTTATATATTGTTTATTTAACTTCCAAAAGTAGGTGCAATATACCTAAACATGTCGTAAGACAATAGAAAAAAACTTCGTGGTCATTCTGTCATTCAATAAGCGGTTAATAAAATAATAAATAAATAAAAGAGCAAAAATATGCCCGAAATCCGTTTTTTTAATGCTTATATTTTTAATCATGTTAATGTATAAGCTTTCACTTCAACAAATATTTAAACGTGCAGCATTATTAATAAAATAATAAATAAATAAAAGAGCAAAAATAGGCCCGAAATCCGTTTTTTTAATGCTTATATTTTTAATCATGTTAATGTATAAGCTTTCACTTCAACAAATATTTAAACGTGCAGCATCCTTTTTTGTACATTTTGTGAAATTTTTAATTTTGAAATGTTTACAATTATAAATAATAAAAGTAAAAAATATTGATCACTACAAATAAAAACCTCGTTGACGCAGTAAAAACGGTAAAAATATGTGTGCAAATTATGTGTTGGCAAAGTATATAAGAAGGTTACTAATAAAGTTTAAAAATTAGTTTAATGCCTAACATAAAAAAATGTAAGGAGAATTAAAAAGAAAATTTAAAAATCGCTTTAAAGGATGCGTAGCAAGTAGGAGATAGGCTAATTTTCAAATAAATTATTAATAATTAAATTGAAGCGTAAGAAGTTTATAGATGTTTTCAGTTGCATGGTGTTAAATAAAAAGTAAAAATTGCTCACAGTGTTATTCACACATTTTGGACAAACTCAAACAAGGAATATTAAAAGCACGCAATCATGCCAAGTTCTCGTCACTATATGAAAACTAAATTTATTCCGTCACCGTTAATAACTATTAGAGATACACCGAATGTTTGGCCTAATGTTTTCTTTAATAACTTCAATAGTTTTTCATTCTTAATTTTTTTTCAAAATTGCAAGTTTTTTGGTATTTTGCCATCAGCTTCGATCAAATAATGTATCAACTATTTGGCCACTTGGTCTCCGGCAAAATTAAAAATTAATTACGGCGCATCGCTCATAAGAAATTAACTTATAACCTATATATCGAAATAGGTCCCATTTTTTCATATTTTACATTTTCATATTTCTAATTTTCTAATTACAACGTCATAATTTCATTTCTTGTACTTTTCATTAAATTTCTTGATTTTAATGTTTAAATTATAATTCAATTTTTGATATTTTGTAAAACCAGGCTCTGATGATGACTGTATGTCGAAACAACGTTGTAAGCCTAGGATGACACATAATGATAATAAATATGAATTAAAACAGCTTCGTGTTGTCGAAATCCTTATTAAAAAGTTAATTAATGCAAAATTATAAATAAATTATGAGAGAGAGTGTGTTCTCTATATTATATATATATATATATATATATATGAAAAATAGAGAGAACACACTCTCTCTCATGTGTTCGTGGTGTGTCTGTGTATTAAAAAGCTGCACAAAAAAATTAATAGCTTGCAATCACGCGAAACATTTATCGTATACTGACGCACACTTCATGCATCGTTTCATGCAATTAACGCGTATGTGTATATGTACATCATTTCATACATGTATAGATATATATACATATTGTGTGTGTTTGTATACATATTTATTTTTATTTAAATATGCATCGAACAGACCATACTATATAATATAAATATTTATATATTTATGTATTGTTATATTATATTAGATATTTATATATTCATAACTTTTAATAATTTTTTTCTATGACACGGAAATTTGTGAAAATTCTCTTTTAAAATTTCATTTGGTCAACAATATTTTTCAGCCATTTATTTAACCATTTTTCAGCCAATATTTAAAGCCATCATCAGAACCTAAATTGGTAAACTCTTAGCGCTCCACACTTATGTTGTTTACATAGAATAATATTAAAATTTGACTCCGCCCTTCATTAATATTCATGACCAACCGAAGCGCTTCATTTTTTTCAATTTGTAAATTTTTAACCGAAGCGCTTCATTTTTTTCTATTTGTAATTTTATATTTTAATATCATTTTTTTTTATTTTTTAAAAATGTTACAAACATGAGAACTAATTGTAATTTTATTTGCACATTATATTTTCATATAAAAAAGAAAACAGAAGTATCTAATAATAATCAATAGTAAATGAAAAAATAGAAAAAAGTTTCAAAATTTTAAACCGTGTCGTATAAGTTCCAGGGCTTTTTAGAATCGCTCTTTTTTTTTATCTCCGATGGTGCACAGCCACATAAATTCATCAAGGTATGATTGTATGTGAGCATCGCACGTACCATTCATTTTTTTAAATTTTTGTTTGGCGCATCGCCACAAATTCTCCACTTCATTTGTGTGCACTCCGTTTACGGCCCGAAATGTAATAAAGTGATTTACGGTTTGGTGGTTAAGACCGGTTACGGTTGTTATCCTGTTATAAGCAGCCCATTGACCCGTCCAAACTGTTTTACCTAAAATTATTAAAATCGAACTTAAATTTTATAACCAATCAAAATGAATTTTAAAACATTAAACTTTATGGAACCAACCAGGCAGAACATGTTGCTGTATCAATGACAACAACGTGGCAGCAACTCGTCTATTTATATTTACCAGAAAGGCATCCTTTGTTTGCGTATTGATAACCCAGCCCTAACTGGGCGTGCATTCTGGTTTCTCGATCTTTTTGCAGATGAGATGCAGCTTTCATCTATCTGAACAATGTGTCCGGGCCACCTATTTGTGCAGGGTTATCACGAGCCCAGTCCATACATAAATCCCGATGTAAATTGAACCAGTCAGGCAATGTGTTCCCGACGTTCAAATCTAAAAGCCCCGCAACCATAGCCTGGCTAACGTCATTCATAGACCAGAAAATCCTTACCTGTTTATATTTAAAACAATTCGCATCATAATTTTTAAACAAATAAAATTTTTTATAAACAATGAAAAAAAATCTTACTAAAATACAATTTGTCAGCGAAATTTGGCTACGGCTGTAGAAACTTCCATGCCTAATTGTTTTTGTGGCGCGGCACCTGGAGTTTTTACACCTCCACAAGTAGCCATCCGCCGTTGTTGTGCTTTCTGAGAAAACTGTAAAGCATGCAAGGCAATAGTATAAAATGATAACGAAAAATAGTTAACTGAGAAAAAATGTTTAAGCATGAAAAGTATGTAAACCTCATGTCTGCAAGACAGCGCCATGTCATCGTGGCCGCTATCAAACCGTGCTGTTTTGCCCACCTTACATCATCTTCTGTGTTTAATATACAACCTATCAGTTCAACCATTTTTATTCCTTCCACTGAGGAGTAAACAGCCATTTTTAACGTAAATAACTAATAAATTTTTTTTAATGAAAAATATAAATAAATGCAATTGAAGAATAGAAGAGGAAGTAGCAAAAGGAAAAGGAAAGAATAATTTCGTTTTTATACTAAAGCTCTTTCATGTAAGAGATTCCACAGCTTAACTATTACATTTAAATTTAATCCATATTTTATTTATATTTAATCTATATCTTAATATATGACCTTATTTTATTTGGCATCAAAATTATTAATAGACATTTTTAAATATAATTTTTTAAATTATTTGTTTAATAATTTATTACAATAAATAGAAACGCTTCAGTTGGTCATGAATATTAATGAAGGGCGGAGTCAAATTTAAAGATTTCAATATTATTCTATGTAAACAATATAAGTGCTAAGAGTTTACTTTAAAGTTTATGAAAAAGTTATAAGTTGACAACTGAAACATTTTGATTAAACTAACACATTTTAGCTAAGTTATTAGTTTTTCCTGTTAAACTTTGCAGGAAACTACAAAAATAGCTAAACTATTAGTTGGCCAAAATTTATTTAATCTATGCCTGTCATTGGAAATTAGATTGGATGTGATGCTAACATCCTTTGTTGAATGTTAATTTTTGTATTTTTACGTCAATAAAAACAGCTTATGCCATTTTGAGATTTGCGAAGTTTGTGTTTTTATATATTACTGCTATGTTACAACCGAAAATTAGAATTTTATTAGTTGTAAATTGAGTGTGTTGAACTCAAATTACATTTGATGACGTCATTCTACTCGGGCATTTTAAGACGTCGAGTTAGTGAAGTTGTAGTAATCCTGATATATGTTATATATACAGTGTTTATATACAGGGCTACAGTGTTTTTTAATATTAAACGTCAATATGAAGGAATACTAATAAGCTTTAACCAACAAAGCTACCTTTCCTCCTTATTCTTATTTAAAAATTATAAAATCCCATCCCATGATTATTAGAATCTTTGTAGAAAAATCAAAAAGACAAACTGCAAGTAAATTAATGTGAAAAATTCTCTAAAATGTATAAAATACTATATATGTATATATATACGTTTGTTTGAATAATAATAATAATCTGCTTGATAAGAAAACTATAATATAATACAAAATAAAAATGAACAAGTCCCATTTAAATGTAAACATGATCCTCAAAGAACTGCCGCATTCTATTATTTAATATTAGCTTTTTCAAACTTCTCTGCACAGAAAAAATCAAATGAAGCTCAGCTGAAGGCCAAATAATCAAATGTTTTAACAGCATGCTTTTTTATTATTTATTGAAATGTCTGTGATTAAAATTTGGAGTTTTCAGCTGAAATATATGTTCGACTATTGTTTTTATAGGCAAACAATTGTACAATTTTTTTACGAGCACGCATTTTATAGTCACGCTACGTATATTTATACACTAGCGCACATTAATGCGTTCATTTGTACGTGTATTTACGACTTCGTGACAATGGACAAATTTTAACCAGGGTACGTCAAAATTCTATAGAACGGAAGTCACATTTCATTACGCACAAACGCCTATTTGTTCGCATGGAGTTAGTTTATCAATTTCCGTCTGCGAACGTAAGCTCATGAACTTTATTTCATATCTTGAAAAATGATGTAAATTTTATAATATTTATATTTCTTTAGTTTATAATAATGTTTTAAAATAATCGTTAATATCAAATCTTTCAAGATATATCAATGTCATTTTTTGAGCGGATGACGAATTGTCTGGCAACTCACGTAATTGCTTTGGTTGATGTATGCAGCTACATATTCAGAAATAAATAAGTGCACAGATGACATATATATATATATATATATATATATATATATATATATATATATATATATATATATATATATATAATGTTTATTAATGTTACCAAATATAATTAATTAAGTTAAGCCTAGTAAACACTACTCAGGGAAGTTTCGATGGTAGTACTACCGGATAGCAAGGTAATATTCGCGCATTGACGTACTTAGAGCTACGATTACGATATGCTACGACGTACTTAGAGCGACGATTACGATATGCTACGATACGATTTGTATTAATAAGAGGAGAACTATATTATTATCATTTATTAATGATGTTAACGTGTAAAAATCTACAAGTAATATACAAAAATATACATAGTTCAAATCTTATCGTTAATTTATTTTATCTAGTTTTATTTTTTATTGAAATTTGAATTAATATTTTCATTTAAACTTTTAGCAAAATTTTTACAAACAACTAATCTTTCAACAATCAATTCATGTCTATGCTTTTAAGGCAATATTTATCAATAACACTTGACCCATCAATGACAAGCATGTCAACAATGCTAAAAAAAAGTTGTTTTTGATTCGATGAAGCTAGAAACTTTTTCATGATGTCTTCATGTAAGATGTAAAAAATAACACCATTTAATTTTTGTGGGGAGTAACTTCTTCCATATTTGCTAATGCCAATCAATTTCAGCTGGTAAATTAAAAATTGTAACTATGATTTGACAATTTCATCGCTTGGATCATTGATTGAATTCAGACAAGATTTTAATTGCTGTTTAGCTGCAAAATTTTAGGTTTGGGCATCACATTTAATAGCGAACTCATACTTGATTTTTTTGTTGATAAGGCTGTCAACAAATGGTTTTGCAACTTTTTTGACCATTGTTAAATAGGGATATGTTTTTTTTTGTTCATCAATGATGATGGATAACTGAATGCGCAAGTAACCATTTTCAAAACGTAATTGTTTTCAAAGATTTGATACTGATACCCGCTTAGAACAGTTGTTTCCTTATTCAAATAGTCTAGTATTTCGACCAAACTCATTTATTATCTGATCATTTTTATTGAATGTATTTTCAAGTTCATCAATTTTTGTCATTTTGGCTTCTCGGCGACACGCAGCTGACGATTTTTTTGCAGATCGCGAGAGTTGCTTATGTGTTGTCAAGTATGATGGTGCATATTCAAATTTTGTGGAAATTGTTCTTGGTCTTAATTTTCGGAAGGTTCTGAAGACATTAACACTTGAATTGTTATCACAATACATTTTAACAAAATCTAAAGGATGAAATTACAAAGAACATATTTTGTAATTTTTGTTTGTAATAAAATCCTTCCGTGAATTTTCTTTATTCAACTTTGCACACAATTCGAGGTTGTTGATTGGGTGAAAATTAAAGGACAATTATGGCTTATCCTTTCATCAATATGCTGATGACACAAGTATGGTATCTGAAAGTATTTATTAAACTTGGCACACAGGTCTCTTCTGTTTTTTGCTTATCTACTGGAGTTCCTCAGGGCTCTGTATTAGGACCTATGCTTTTCACTATTTATACTAGTCCCTTATCTGACATCTTTAACAATTATGGCTTATCCTTTCATCAATATGCTGATGACACAAGTATAGTATCTGAAATCTCCCACCAAAATATCACTTCTCAACACGATAGACTTAACTCTTGTGTCTCATCAATAAAGGATTGGCATTTCTTTCAACTAAATGCCCAAAAATCTGAAATAATGTTTTTTGGCACACCACAGCAACTTACAAAATGTTCTCCACCCTTCAACGTGACAATTGCTGGATCAAGCCTGTCCACAAGTCTTAAACTTTTAGGAATTACTCTTGATCCGTCTCTAACTTTCAAAATTCACACTTCTTCTCTCATCAAAATATGTAATTACATTATTTGGTCTATTCGCCATATTCGACCTGTTCTCACAGTCAAAATGATCTCCACGCTAGCACGCTGCCTTGTGTTATCTCGCCTTGACTACTGCAACTCTCTGCTATATGGCACTGTGGCGTATCTAATTTCCTCTTTTCAGATCATTCAAAACAGATTAGCCAAACTTGTTTTAGAATTACCTCGTTCATCTTCTAGTTCAACATCTCTTGCTCACCTGCACTGGCTGCCGATTCATCAACGCATTAAATATAAAATAGCTGCCATCACATATAAAACACTCAACACATCTCAACCATCATATCTTCACAAACTCATTCGCCTTCGCTCGTCTGTTAATTATCGCCGTCACCTTCGTCTGCCGTCGTCATTGCAACTGCATCAACCAGTCAATACATCAGCTCTCGTCAATAAAGGCTTCTCACATTGCTCACCATCAATATGAAACAGTTTGCCACTCATCATCCGTCAACAATCATCAAAAGAAACGTTTAAAAAGCGATTGAAGCAGCATCTGTTTGAACAGGCCTTTGGCGGCCGTGCTGACACTTGTTTATCCGGGCGCCTCTGACGCTATGCATAGGGCGTTCATAAATGACATTATTATTATTATTATTATTATTATTGCAACCAAAAGCCAACCATATATATATGGTTGGCTTGCAACCATATATATATATATATATATATATATATATATATATATATATATATATATATATATATATATATAACGCGTCTGCTATATTCATATTGTATATACCTATGTGGTCAACAAATTCGATTCCGAATGAATCATGAATCAAGTTAATCTTGACAAAGTCAATATTTCCCATTATATACAGCAAGGAGCACTGACGATGATTCATTCGGAATCGAAATATGGCCTTATTTGCAGCATGAATTCGAAAGATAAGTTTATTTTGAATTTTAATAAACTAAACGTTCGCCAAAAAACTTTAGTGAGAAAAATCGAAAAAACGAACTACAAACATATTAACGCCAAACATTCTGTAGAATTTATAGAATATTGTAAATATATATATATATATATATATATATATATATATATATATATATATATATATATATATTGTTCATACATTGTTACATCAAGGTCAATCTAACAAATTTGTTGCATAGATTTGCTGTGTTTGCTAAAAAGTGAATTTAAGTTAAAGTAAACAGTCAATTTGTAACCGGTTGTTTAGCGATTATCGCCTAGTTGCTTTTTTTGTAGTAGCAAATTATATTCTCGCTTTGTTTGTTGTTGTTATTATTGAAATGTTGTAGTTTACGGT